TAGGTACTCGGTGTAAGGCACATTGTCGCTCAAAGTCAGCAAGGTACCCATCAATTTCTCCTTCTGTCTCTTAAAAGCAGCAAAAGGTACCTTCTTTCGTTCTACCGGGGCCACCGGTACCTCTGCCATTGTAGTTCTTTGCTGGAGGATTTGGCCCATAGTATGCCAACCTTGCCCGAACAGAACATAGCAATTCATCTTCCTCGTTCGGAAACAACGGGTTTGTGCGCTGCTTCAACGTCCATCTCCAGCAGTTCGGCAATCAGCTCTCTTTTCTTTTGGTTGTTAGTGGAACGGCCACGGCTCTCCAGCAGATCCTATAGTGTAGATCTCTTAAGCTGCTCATACCAGTTCTCCATCCATTCCTTTCGTTGTCAGATCTTTTTGTAGCTTCCCTTTTGGGGAGAAAAGAAGCATCCCGCTGCTTGCCACCAACTGTAGCGGTCACCCTGATAGAGTGAGGAGCTTTCGCCACCAAGAGATGTCCTTTCTCCCCTGTTGTGAGAGGGAGGCTGTAGAACAGAGCAGGAACAACTCTTAGAAGAGCTAATGATTTTAATACTCCAAAGAGCAATCCCAAGAGCAGGGATTATCGCAGGTATAGCTTTTCCCTATAAGCACAAGACAAGGCTCTGTGTTAAGGGTAAATCAGGAACTGAATTTTAATGGAGGCACACTGGCATGTTATGTAAGTTTTCCAACAAGGGTGACACCCAGGTGGACCTTGTTGGGCACATGACACAAAGTATGCAAGCCAATAAAAACAATGTGATAAGGAATAACACTCCCACATACAGTACACAATCCCTCCCCTCTGCCTGTGATATAATTAACTCAGATAATGTATTAATTTAATTAACCCCAGGCAGAAAAAACACACATTTTTATAAAATAGCACAAAATACAACAAATATCCAAAAATCACCCACATCAGAACAGGGATCAGGAATTTTGACCGACCGCACACATGGTTTCATGCCCAAAACAGTTCCAGAGAATTAGGCTGTGCGGCCGGTCTATTTCCAACTATCGAAGTACTGTTCGAATTACCGAGCGAAATAGTGAATGAATATAGTCAATGTGTGTCCCTTGTTTGTGGGCTTCGACTCACCAAACGCCGTTCAACTACCGTTAAAATTGTCGTTGTTTCCTGGAAGGTAACTTTTCATCAGTGTTTGTGCCGCCGTGTGTCCGATTTGAGTTCCATGAACTCGACGACAAAACACCGCTGAACACTTCGACCGAATGAGATGGCCGCCACCACGTGTTCGAATGTCGAATGGCAGCCACTTTGACTACTTCAAAGTTCAGAGTCCAAATAGGCACAAATAGTACCTCAACATCAAAGGGGCCATAGTCACAGGGTATTCATAGGGAAAATTAGGATTACTGAACAAACAGACAAAATAAGGAATAAAATATAAAATCCAGGGACAGAGTGGGCTGTCACATTTGTGTTCAGTGAAGTCTCCTGAGTAAAACAGTACCCCCCATGTACAGGTTTTATGATGTCTTGGAAAGTTACAGGGTTAAATATAGTGCTAGCAAATTAAATTCTCTGGGCTTTCGGCCTGGGTTGTCAGGCAGGTCACCCAAATTGCAATCAATAAAATTACTTAATTATATAAATATATATAAATATATATAAATTCTACATATTTATATATTTGAAGTCTACGTGTATATTTATGAAGTTATGTAATTATGTATATGGACATATGTATATTTTGTATTATTTTTATTTATATATAGATATATATATAATTTTATTCTAAGTGTATTTTGATATAAATATATGTATATATTAATTTCAAAATACAGTTAGAATAAAATTACCTATCTATCTATCTATCTATCTATATATATATATATATATATATATATGTAAACAATGTACATTTACATAATTTAAAACTTTATTTTTTATTAATTATTATTTATTTTTATAATATTAATAATATATATACATATATATATATACACACACACACACACAATATATAGTTATTATATACATACACATTATATACACGTGTTATATACAGACGTGTGTAATTTTACTCTAAATGTATTTTTATATTACTATATGCATATTCAGATGTATATATTTTTTTTTTATTAACCTTTTTTATTGTAAAACTTTTCGTTAACTTTTTTCACCAGCAGGGGGACTGCCTGTCAGTTCAGGCAGTCCTCCTGCAGGCAGCACTGTGGACACCTATTGCGGCCATGTGATCGTATTGGCCGCGGATGTACAGGGTTCATCAGCGGTTGTTAAGGATAACTTTTTGTCTGACGTACCCTGTACGTCTGCACTCACTACGGGGTTAAAGGGACACTATATTAACCAAACAACTTTAGCTTAATGAAGCAGTTTTGGTGTATATATTATGTTCCTGCAGTCTCACTGCTGAATTATCTGCCATTTAGGAGTTAAAACACTTTTGTTTCGGTTTATACAGCCCTAGGCACAGCTCCTCTGGCTGTGAGGATGTTTTCACAATCAGTTAACTTGACTTTAAAGTTTTTATCTCCTGCTCTGTAAATTACATAGAGGAGGCTACTGCAGGGTTTAGCAAGCTATGGACAGAACAGGAGATAAGAAATCCTCAATTAAACAGACTCTGCAATAAACATTCACCTGTTTAGGAAGGCTGTGTAAGTTACATGCAGAGTGGTATAACCGGACAGTATAAACAAAGTGATTTAACTCATAAATGGCAGTGAATTAAGCAGTGAGACTGCGGGGGCATGATCTATACACCAAAATGGCTTCATTATTCTAAAGTTGTTTTAGTGATTATAGTGTCCCTTTAATATCTTCAGAAAAACTTAGCATTTTGTACTGGGGTACTGGGCGATCTTTTGGTATATGTTAGGAATCTCGGTCCCCATAATCCATTCTTTAACCGCCCATGACCAGCTGCAGGCCTTTCAGTCCCAAACAGGCAGTCCTCCTGAGTCCTGTCGCGCTGTTCAGGGTTGGTTCCCTGATGTCCCTGGATGCATCATTAGACAGGTTCACACAATGCGTCGGGCACTAGGACCATGAAGGGAACATCTGTGGTAAAACTGAAAACAGAATTAATTGGAAGAATTTCAGCTATATTGACCTACATTTTCAAATTACTGACAATTCACACTTTAGGGAATAACCCTGTTAAAATGTGTTACCTCTTAATTAACAAGCACAGGAGTGATATTACTATTATAACCGTTAATTTAATAATATAAAATATGCTGTTTTCTATTCATAAATGTGTTAGAGTGAGAATTTTGTTGTCCTGTATTCACCTATTTAATACTCTATCCCATTCTCTTGCCATACAATCCCGTATTTTCCTATTTAATAGACTATTTACATTCCCTACTCTTCCCATACTGTTATGGGCAAATGCGAATATTACAAGTTTTAGAGTGAAATGTTGTATTTCTTAAACTGTGTACTTTGTCTTTAAGGGATATTGCAAACTGTCAAGGTGTTAGAAATGGAACATTGTTTTTTATACAATGTTTCTGTAAGCAATAACCTCTTACCTACTTTCAGTGCAGAATATGTTTACGCCATTTTGTCTTAGCTTAATAGAATAACAAGTAATGTATAAACAACTTCAAGGCTATGCTACGTAATTCAAACTTACGCCATTTTGTCTTAGGTTAGTGGTATTCCCCAAGTCAAGGAATTTCCCATGGCGTGTGCACCCTTACGTTTTAGTTATGGCCTTGTATCTTTGCCAAGTTAAGGGAGGTCCCAAAATGAACATCTAAGGTATAAATATGTGTACTTATTAAATATTAGGACACAGAGGAGAGATTTTGGAGATAGAGACGCTGCTCCATTTTATAATGACAGAGAGGTTGACATGTTCAAAAGGGTATGTTATTCTATTTTAATGGTATCGCAAGCATATAGTTTAATCTTATAAACTCTGCTATAACTTATTGTAATGGATTTTATATGTCTATATCTATATTTTTATTTAATAAAATGTTTAAAAGACAAAACTTTATTGCTTCCAAGACAGTCCTTATTTTAAATTGTATTGAGCTATTTAATACACTATTCCATTCTCTTACCATACGATCCCGTATTCACCTGTTTAATACACTATTCCATTCTCTTACCATACTATCCCTGTAGTGGAGTAGTAGTATTATCCACGGTATCTCGGCTGGTAAATAGAGTGAAGCAGGTAAAAAGTAGGCAAAATGCAGGTAGCGTAGTTACAATCCCTTTCTCCCAAGAACTAGGTGACACATAGCTTGGAGGTCAACTGAGAGCTTTAATGAAACAATCATCAATTTATGTGATTTTACTGTACAGGGTTTCCAGCAGGGGTTTTAATCAGGTGGACTGTGTGGGAAACTGACCATGCAAGGTTGTTTCCCAGCAGCCCCTGCTGTACAGGCACCAAGATGACATCAGCAAGTACATATAATTAAATTACCAGTGGTTACAGAAATATGCAAGATTTTACATTTAAATCTATAATTCTCACAATTTCCCACTGATTTGGGTGAATGACCTATTAACCGAATGCAGGGATCGGCAGGTACAATATGATCCCTGCAGCATTAACCGAACGCCACTCGTAATATACATTTGCACGAACTGGGGTTTAGAAGAGAAAACTCACGAATACCTTTATTTCCCCACAAGAGCAAGGCTCCCGAACGCTATGAAAGTCCAGCGGTGTTTGGAAATCAAGTGGCCGATTTCAGTTCCAGGCAGTCGACGACCAAACACAGCTGAACTCTAACAAAGCAAAGATGGCTGCCGCCATGTGTTCGGTATATGAACGGCGGCCACACACAGAAAGCCCATTAACAGCTGGACACAATGTTGCAACCTCACTAATGAGCGGCACACGACCTACTGGGGTGGTCTCCCGTTCGGTCCTTAGTTCGTTTCACGAACAGGGTAGGGATCCACTGTTCGTGAAACTGGCAATGTAATGTTAACGGCATTCGTGTGCTGTAAGCACATGAATGCAGAAGAGAAACCATATACTTATATACAGTGGGGGATTTTCCTCACATATATACATAGCACTGGTAGATATATATGAAGATATATGGACAGATATATATGAAGACATTCTGTAAGTTTGCCACAATCCCATATTCACCTATTTAATACACTATTCCATTCTCTTACCATACTATTCCGTATTCACCTATTTAATACATTATTCCATTCTCTTACCAAACTATCCCATACTCACCTATTTAATACATTATTACATTCCCTTCTCTTACAGATGCGGATACAGTTCCTGATCCTCCCACTAGCTGTCAGTGGCCTCAGACACTCACATACTCAACTACAAGTCCCTCTGATGCTACTGACAACTCTTCTGGAAACCACATCAATACTAACAATAACTATGGTAGCAATGGCAATAACTATGATGGGCCAACCAAAGGGACAATGAACTGGTCAACCAATGGGCCAACAAACTGGTCTATCAACTGGACAACTTGGCAAATGAGTGAACCAAATAATGGACAATCAAATGGGAAAGTGAACTGGACAACAAATGGATTAATGAACGTATCAGTCGTTGAACCAACAAGTGAGCTTATTTATGGGGAATCGAATGGGCTGATGAACTATACAACAAATGGATCAATAAACCAACCAGTGAATGGGGGAAGTAATCGTCCAACAAATGGGCCCACAAGTAATTCAAATCTTTTCCAAGAGAGCTCACAGACCACAAACATTCAGGGAGCACGTCTATCTGTGACTCTCAACAACAAATCGAGCTCCAGGGCAACCTCTGAGCCAGTATCCTTTTCTAGTGCCCTCTTAATGTCCCTAGCAAGTGCCACATCTACATCAGCAGGTATAAATGTGTATACAAGTAGGGCTGCTCCTCTATCCTCTCTACTGCAAGAGTTTCCCTCAGTCAAAGCCTTTGTATTTTCAGGTTATATTGGATCCCCAGATAACACTGCCACAGGGTATAGAACAGAGAATCTGGGAACCAACACAATGGCACGTATGTTCAAATATCTTCACTATTTCTATTGCTTAATGCTCTCTCATTTAACACCGGTTTTCCTTGGCTCATACTCTCTCTCTGTTTTGTCTCCCAGTCTCCTCCTTGTACTTGGTGCTGAGATCCATGACTTGGACAGAATCCCAATCGTATTGTCGCCAACATTATACTGACCTGGCTGCGGTCACAAGCTCTAAAGAACATAGCACAATATCTTTCTTTCTATCCACACAAACCTCTGGAACAAGATATTGGTTTGGGCTAAGAAAAAGCCAATTTTGGGGCAACTGGTATTGGAGTGGAGGGCAGTCCTTTGGGGAGTACACTAACTGGGGACAAGGAGAACCACTGGAGCCACTATCCAAGATGTGTGGTCTGATCTCAAATCCAGCAGAAAATCTGAGTTGGAGCTCAGAGTGCTGTGTGATGAGATTGCCTTTTTTATGCTATAAAATGGATTGATTCAGCTTCATTTATGAAAATAAATTATAAGTCTATAAAGAGCTACAATAGTTATGAGAAAAAATAAAACGTTTGTTTTCATTTTTTTGTTAAATAAAAAGTTATTTGCTCATTTAAAGTTAAACTGATAGCATTCCTTTTACTAATTAATGCAAATAACAAACTGGCATCATTCCTATTAAGTAGAATATTTTATCTGAACGCAGGCTAAACATGGGATTCTCACCACAAAGTAAAAGCTATGAAATCACATAAATAGTTCTTAAGATACTAAGGTACAAACGTAAGGTATCGGACAACAGTATTAGACACAAAATAAATACCTAGTTAAAATATACAAAAAAAAAAAAAAAAATGAAGTGAAAAGGAATACATTAATCAATGTACTGAGAGAAAATGCTCATGTTTGGTAGACATTCTCCATCTGCTCCAGGACTGGGATATCACTAGCTATAGTAGACACTAAAATTGACATTGCTATTGAGTGTTTATTTTTATGATTTTTTTTCTGGGCATTTCACCTCACTTTGTTGTTTTACTTTGGTAGTTTAAGTAGTTTAATGAATTACTCCACTGGGATTATGATTTAACAGATTTCATTTTCCTTTTTCATCCTCTCCTCCTATGCCTGTCTAGTTTAATTTTAAAGGAGAGAGGCTCTATCTATATACTTTAATTTCTCTATATATACAAATATACGTTCTGCGCTTTTCGTAGGAAACGTTATTTTTTGCTGTCCTTTCTCCCCTCTTCCAATAGCATCTGTAAGTTCGAGACTTATGTTTCACAGTGTAGTAACTGGCCAATTCTAATAAAGCCTATAGATATACAGACTTATACTATTTTTATGGTATGTCAAGTTTAGTGTCTACTTATTTTCTCTATCCTACCTTAACTTGCAACTTAGATTTACATCTAGGAGAAGCCTTATAAGGGTAGGATTTATGTTCTACTATGGTTGCATCACTGTACAGATCAATTTGTTTTTTGGAATAAGATACTGTTTTTATTTTCCAGGAGGCATCCCCTCACAGTTTGTGAGAGGCGTGCATTTATTCTGTTTTCTTCTAATAACATAAATTATATTAAAATGCCAGCCTTAGGAGGGCCTGTCTTGAACGAAAAGCTGAGCAGTTGCATGTTCTAAGAGCTCCCTGCTCACCAGACCAACAACTGAGCCATTTTGACCTGCAAACCACAGAACTCAACATATATTGCAGCAATGTCGCAACACACAAGTAAACTGTAACGGACCGTTTTGCACACCAGAGGTTAAAAACCGTTACGGTGATATTCCCCTTTGCACAGACAGCTACTGCATTCACCAATCTCCCGAACTGGAACCATACGAATCCTCCAACTCCCAAACAGGAAACACACGAACAATGGAAACAGCCGAACAGGAAAAGCATACAATCAGCTTACACTCCTGGCAATCAGCATACAATCCAATTCCCCCAATAACGAGACGACACTTCGTTTTGAGGGTTAAGCAGGAACTGATTTACTGGGGCTAACTGCCCGGCTTTTATGCAGGTCTCTCACCTGGTGGACACTCCCCTAGGGGACCAGATGGGAGACTGGGACACAAAGGGTAAAAAGGACCAATCACAAGCTTACACATTTCCACAATCCCACAATGCATCACAATCCCTCCTCTCTGTCCTGGAGATAATTGGGAAGTAATCCAATTATCTCCAAGGACAGAGGCAAAACTCCATTAACCACATGGCAGACAAAGGACAATAAAAGACATAAAATTACATACTGTTACATTCATCACATAGAACATACACATTCTATCTATCCCCAGATAGCTTAGATCTGAGCGCACATTACTACCAGATGGCGCTCAGAGCACACACATACAGTTCAATCGCCATGGAGCCAAAGTCTTTCCCATAGTCTTTCATTATACGAATGGGCTCCATGGCTTAGCTATCTGGGGTAACACTGCTCACATAGGGAAAATAAAAGGTTTTTAATGCAGGGCCATAGTCCAGCGGCAAGAGGGGAGCAACCAGGCTTCTCCAATGCCCAGTGGCAAGGTTGGTTCCGCCACATTTCTCCCCTTTACCAATCAGACTAACAGGGTATCTGACCTCCTGTCGGTCAGTGCCCTGGTTAGTCCAGCAACCCACTGAGTGGGCAGAGACCAGCGGTACTCTGTCCTGGTGCCAGTGCTATAATGGGAGTAGCCTGCTTGGAGCCCCGCTGAGGAGAAGGGGTAGTAGGCTGCCCTCTCTGGATCTGGTGCTGCTGCTGTAGGGGGAGACCGACTGTCTCCACTTTGGGCAACCAGCCCTACTGCTGGGGGACAGGACCAACCGTCCCTACCCCCTGTGGTTTGGGCACAGAGACTACTGTCCCATCTGTACCGGTGTGGGGCTTATCATCTCCCCTTGGTGGGCTAGGCTGCCGCTGGGGGAGATGATAAGCTCCTCTCCCATACACACTTTCAGCCGCTGGGGAGTGGGGATAACAAGCTCCTCTCCCGGACACTCTTTCTGCTGGTGGAGAGGGGAAACGACTGTCTCCCCTTTCGATATATTGTCCCGCGGCTGGAGAGCGAGACCAACTGTCTCTGCTCCCGGCAGGACACACTGCCGCTGGGGAGGAAGGACGACACCTTTGTCTCCCTGGGACTCACTGGACTGCTGGGGAGAGGGACCCACTGTCTCCTCTCCTAAGGACACACATTGCCGCTGGGGAGGAAGGACGGCACCTTTGTCTCCCTGGGACTCACTGGACTGCTGGGGAGAGGGACCCATTGTCTTCTCTCCTAAGGACACACACTGCCGCTGGGGAGGAAGGACGACACCTTTGGCTCCCTGTAACACACACTGCCGCTGGGGAGGAAGGACGGCACCTTTGGCTCCCTGGGACTCACTTGACCGCTGGGGAGAGGGACCGACTGTCTAAGGACACACACTGCCACTGGGGAGGAAGGATGGCACCTTCAGCTCCCTGGGATACATACTGCCTCTGGGGATCCTCGCAGGACCAGTCTAGGAGGTCCGCTACCTCGAGTACCGCTGGTTGCTGTTGGGGAAGAGGACCGGTTGTCTCTTCCCAGGCCTCATTGATGAGTCGCAGGTAATCCCACTCCAGGTCACATTCCTTGGCGTCCAGATACTGTAGGTCTGTCTCGAGATCAACAGCGCTAGGGAGACCCAGCATGTCTTCTCGGTCGTAACACAGGTCCCAAAAACGAGAGTCGGTAGCTTTCCCAAAGTCCTCATCGTCAATATTATCCCAAAATAGGCGGGGGACAGCGTAATCTCCGCCCTCTGGGAACTCATACTCAGCCATTTCGGGGGGACACTGAGCTGCGTACCACTGTATCGCCTGGTATGCGTCGTTGAGCGCCAGTTTTGCATATACTAGAATCTCGAGTCTAGTCACCCACGCTTCTTCGGTCTGTTTTCTCAGGAGGGGCATCCGCTCTGCCATTCGAGCCAGGATTCGCTGCCTTTTGCTGCGGCGCTGATCCCCTTGCAAATACTGTACTTTCTCTAGGGCTTCATCCCACAACCCAGCTCTGGCAATCTCTGTACCTCAACATGTCCTCCTCTGACACTGCTCCAGACCTCAGGGATACGTAACAGTACAATCTATCTTGAAACTTCTCCTCCATTTTCTGAGTTCCTTTGTAGATAGGGGCACTGTACGGATACTAGCTTTACCCTCAGTTTGTAAATCCAGGGAATGGTGTTACCTTGTAGCTGTCCTTCTGGGCTGTGGGAATGATCCCGCCGCTTGCCAAAAATTGTAACGGACCGTTTTGCACACCAGAGGTTAAAAACTGTTTAGGCAATATTCCCCTTTTCAGATGCACAGACAGCTACTGCAATCACCAATCTCCCGAACTGCAAACACACAAATTCACCGACTCCCGAACTGGAACCATACGAATCCTCCAACTCCTGAACAGGAAACACACGCATACTGGAAAGAGCCGAACAGGAAAAGCATACAATCAGCTTACACTCCTGGCAATCAGCATACAATCCAATTCCCCCCAAGAACGAGACAACACTTCGTTTTGAGGGTCAAGCAGGAACTGATTTACTGGGGCTAACTGCCCGGCTTTTATGCAGGTTTCCCACCTGGTGGACACTCCCCTAGGGGACCAGATGGAAGACTGGGAAACATATTGGACATTGACCAATCACAAGTTTACAATCCCACAATGCATCACAATCCCTCCTCTCTGTCCTGGAGATAATTGGGAAGTAATCCAATTATCTCCAAGGACAGAGGCAAAACTCCATTAACCACATGGCAGTAAAAAGACAGTAAAAGACATAAAATTACATACTGTTACATTCATCACATAGAACATACACATTCTACCTATCCCCAGATAGCTTAGATCTGAGCGCACATTATTACCAGATGGAGCTCAGATCACATGCATCTAGTTCAATCTCCATGGAGCCAAAGTCTTTCCCATAGTCTTTCGGAATACGAATGGGCTCCATGGCTTAGCTATCTGGGGTAACACTGCTGACATAGGGAAAATAAAAGGTTTTTAATGCAGGGCCATAGTCCAGCGGCAAGAGGTGGGCAACCAGGCTCCTCCAGTGGTTAGTGGCGAGGTTGGTTCCGCTACATAAACGACATGCTGATAAGCCTGAAAAAGCTCATTTCTTTGCCACTCTAGCAAAGTCACAAAAGCTGTCCCAAGATGGCGGAGAGGAGGCCTTGACCAGGCCCAACTCTCCGATGCCTGACCTGCTGATCCCCCGGAGCGTTATGCATTAAATGCTCAACGAAATGTCAGCTAAGATGTTCGTTAAATTCACTCAAATCATCCATACTCAAGCTGCAGAAAGGCCTCAAGAAATTGGGTGCATGGACATCACACCTCGATGACAAAATGGCCGACTACACAGAGGCACAAAATGACCTGGCAGGGAAAGTGGAGGGACTGATGTCCCAAGTGGAGGTATATGAAGTTAAACACGGGCCGACATTGAGGACAGGACACAGAGAAACAATCTCCAAGTGCAAGGAATATCTGAAACTGTGCTACCAGACGACCACTGTCCGTCAACAAT